CCTCCCGGCCTTAGGCTCTGCAGGTCGTTCTGCTTTGTGCTTTTGCATACAGACAGCTGAGGCCCAGGCTTTATGATGGCTCTTTTCTTGAACCATATCTTCTTTCTTGAACTTGTGGGTGTCACCATTGCTGCTCCTCACCCTCCTACAACATAGCTGCCCTCTGTGATGTTTAGCTAGGACAGACACTGGCGATTTTCTCCATCTCCCTTCTTTTTCAGGTGGAATTCTTTCTTTTTAGATTTGCAAGACTGAGCAGATACCTTATCAGTCCTCCCTAGCTATACTCCATCCCTGGCCAGGAGCCTGTCATGCCTATATTTTAACCTGTGATCCAAATTGTGTTGTGAGTGCTGCCCATAATTAAAATAGGGAAGTCCGTAGACAGAATGTGCTTAGCAGGGTTTCTGGGAGAACATGTGGGCGCAGAAATGCCTAAAGAACATTCAGCTGGAAATGCCTAGCAGTGAGAATGTGGGACTGCAGCTCAGGAGAGAAGAGATGGGAGGTTGTGAAATCCCTGACGGAGGGGAAGAAGAGGGGCTCAGGCCACAGCACCCTGGCAGGCAGGCATCGTGATCAGTGATCCAGCAAAGGAGCAGGCAGAGAGGCAGGAAAGCCGGGAGAGAGCAGGGGCACGGAAGCCCAGGGAAGAAAGGCTCTGCGAGGGGCAGGTGGGCCAAGAGGTCAGGGAGGATGTGGAATGAGGAGAGGCCGGCAGGCTTAGAGACTTAGAAATGCTGATAACCTTTGAGAATCAGTCAGAGAAGGTGAGGGCCCAGGAGAAATAACACCCCACCCCCAGCTGCTTGTGCCTTCCCTCCCAGGCAGCCTTGTGTTGGATTCCTTTGCGTGCGTGCTGTTTACTCACGATATACTTACGCTGTACATATTTTTATACATACCTCTTGCCTCCCCACTTAGAATGGGAGCCCCTTGTGAGGAGGGATTGTCTCACCCTTGGTCCTTGTAGACCTAGTGCCTGCCTGGCACAGGACCTAGCACATGCTAGGCATTTAGTAAATACTTTTGGTTGATTGTGGTAGGTCTGGGAGTCCTGACAAAGCTGTGTGCCTCAGCTTAGTGGTAGAGAGCAGTACCACAGCAGGAAGTGAGGAGGCGCATGTTGGGGGCAGCCCAGAGCTGAGGGTCAGTGAGGCATGAGAGGTCCGAGGACAAGGGAAGAGGGAGTCCAGCGGAGAGGGTGGGAGAAAGTTGGGCTCACCAATCATAAGGTCAGGGTCTGTGGGGAGAAAAGTCCAGAACTGTGACAGCGGCTGAGAGTCAGGAGGGGCATGGGCAGACGCATCACCCAAACCAAACAGAGAGGGGAGGGATCTCCCCTGTGCTCTACCGGACAAGGAGGCCTTCTGCCTCAGCCTGGAGTTCTCCAAAGTGGGGATGCCACCCTCCGCCTGGGCTAGTCCGTTCCACTCTGGGACAGCTCTCATAATTCGGGGTGAAAGCCTGGGAGAACAAGGAAGGGAGCGCCTGAGTGGAGGTTCGGGGGGAGTGAGGCAGAAGAAGCTTTAGGACTATGGCTAGGGATGTCAGCGTTCTGGGTAACGGCCGTGGAACACTTCCAAATGCTGGGGTGGATATGGCCGGGGGGAGAAAGGGCACAGATCATAGCAGAGCTGGAGACTGACCTGGGAGTCAGGGCGCCTGAGGGCATGTCCAAGGTTTGAGGAGATGACTGAGGGCAAGAGTTGGGCTTCTGAACTCCTGGGGGCTAGAAGTCTGTAGCAAGGATGTTGGCAGGATGATGAAGATGAATGGAGCGAACCTCTGAGGAGGAGAGGCTGTGAGAAGCAGTCAGTCAGCATCCTCTTCCTCTGGGCCCAGTGTGTCTGGCTGGGGATGCAGGGTCTTGGGGGTGGGGAGGAGGAGCTGAGTTTCCATGAGTGCCAGAAGGTGGAAGGCCCATAAAAGAGGTCTAAGGTGAAGAGGTTTGTTACTAGAATGTGGGATCCAGCAAAGGAGGGGCAGGGGGATCAAGAGAAGGGCCTCCTGGGAGCTGCGGGAGGGGAGGGCAGTACCCAACGGTGCTGACTGCTGCAGGGAGAACTGGAAGGATGGGAGGAGGAGAAGGGGGGGCAAATTTCAGAAGGAGAAAAAGAGCAGGGCTTTTGCATTTGGCCAGAAGGGGAAATGTCAGGCCTTGGTCGGCGCCATGTCTCCAGCATGGGAAGGCCGTGCATGGGAGCCAGACTGACGGGGCAGGAGGGGAGACAGCCAGCGGGCATTCTTCTCAGGAACTTGGCAGTAAATAGGAGAGACAAGGGTGTCCACCTCAGGTTGGCAGGTCAAAAGGCATGGTTTGAAGACCTGAGGAGGGGTGGGCTGGTGCAGGAATAGAAGTACGAGAAAGAGAAAAGGGTCCATCATCCCTGGAGGTGCTGACTGGCCAGTGCAGCTTGGTCAGTCAGTAAAGCAGACCCTCGCTTGGGGCAGTCCCCAGCCTGAGCACAGCGCATGGCATGTAGGAGGCACATAATGTTTGCCGAGCCAAATTGTTGAATTTCATCCGCAAACCTGGTCACCTTGCCATGGGAACCTTTGTGCAAGTCATTGACAAAAGTGCGGAGTGCTTCTGCACCAGTATACAAGGACCTTGATAGAAGAACAGAGCAGAGGAAAGATCCCCGTGACACTCTGCTAGCAACCTCCCTCCAGGCTGACATCCTTCTCTTCATAAGAATCATTCCCATTTCTGTAGAGCTTTACTTGCCTCACAATGACCCTGTGCCCAGGGGCACACAGCCAAGAAGTGTCTGAGGCTGACTTTGAACTCAGGTCTTCCTGACTCCAGACCCAGGGTTCTATCCAAGTGTATAATTGCCCTCTACTCTAAGCTGCTGTTATCCCCATTTCACAGATGAGGAGCCTGAGGCCCACAGAGCCAGTAGAATGGCAGAGCAGCAACTTTATGCTGTCGCTGAGGCTCCTCAGGGCCCGGTTAAGATCCGTTCACCCGGCTCTGAAGCCACATCGGGGTCCTCCCGCCTTACCCACAAGAAGGGTGTGCGAAGCCCACTCGCACGCAGCTCTGCTGCACCCATGGGCTCAGCCTGCATCGAGCGGCCCAGAGGGGTCTCGGCTTCAGTCTCTGTGGGTCTGTGAAGAGATGGGTGGGCAAGTGGGCAGCTCTTGAGAGTCTTAGAATGTTAGCTCCTTGAGGGCAGGGCCGGTTTCTCTTCTGTCTGTTTGCCTTCTGCTGATTGGCTGGCTGCTGATTGATCCCCATATTCGAGGCTGTTCTCATGAGAAGTGATGGCAAACAGCAATGTGGTTTGGCAGCCGCTGATGGTGGTGATGCTGCATTCTGGGATTTTCCCTCTCTCCTGTCTTTGAGAATCAATTTCTCATTTCCCTGGAAGCCCAGCTTCCTGACTGTCTTTGGTCATGTGTGGCTACTCTTCCCCAGGAAGCCAGACTCTGTTGCTGGGTGGTACTCCCCTTTCTCTCTGCCCGCCTTATAGGGCTTCCCCCCCATAATCCAGATGTCTCGTTCTCTGTAACCAACAGCTGCCTCAGCTGCAGGCTTAAGAGACCCTGGCTGGGGATGCCAAGGGAGAAGGCTAACGATTCAAGTCAGAGCTGGGCGAGCTCAGGTGCCAGCTGACCTAATGTCCTCATTTTATAGAGGAGGCAGGCCTCAAGAAAAAGGCCCAAAGGTCTCGTGTCTGGTCAATTCCTGTGCTGAGGCAAACAGAGTGAGGACAGGGAGAGCCAAGGGAGTCCCACCTAACTGCCTGTGTCTTCATTTTCCAGGTTCCTTATAGGAAAGAATGATCAAGCCAGAGCAAGGAAGCAAACAAGATAGAGAAAGCGAGACAGTGCCCACCACCCTCGAGGCAGCAGCAGTGTGAGCTAGCGTGGAGAGGGAGGCAGAGCACCTGAAGGGGCAGAGGCCCCTCAGGAGACAGTGGCAGGCCAGGAGAGGCCAGAGGGAGGAGGGAGTGGGGCAAGCACGTCATCAGGAAGGACCGACCAGCCACCCAGGAGGAAGCAGGGAGGGGGGCGAGCCTGGGCACTGAGACGGGATGGTGACATAGGCCCCTTTGTCCCAGAATGGCACTGCCACAGAACCTGCTTTTCAAACTTACCTGGACCTCCACTAGCCACAGCCCTATTCCATCCCTCATCACCTTGGCCCCAACCCCCAGTATTGCTCCTATGTAGCCTAGGCACACCACTGACTCACCCCCCCCACCCTTATTCTGGGCCATCCTTGTTCACACTTCTATCCCTGTCACTGTCCTCTCCCATTCCTGTTCACACCTCTGCCCCATCCCCATTCACACTCTTCCCCATCCTTAATCATAACCTGTCTCATCCTTATTCATAGCCAGTTCTATCCCCTTCAGGCCTCTGCCTGAATGTGTGAATATCCCCATTCACCTGCTACCTAGTCCTCAGACACAACCTGTCTCATCACCATTCATGCCCCTTTCCTAACCCTATTCACACCTCTCTCTCATCCCATTCATACCCCCATTCACACTTCCTCCCCATTTCTACTCATCTCTCTTCCATCCCCATTCATACTTCTTTCCCATTTCCACTCACCTCCCTCCCATCCCCATTCACACCTTTCTGCTCACACCTCTGTACCATCCCCATTCACACCTCTCTCCCATCTCCCATCTGTCCCCATTCATGCCTCTGTCTCATTCCCCATTCATACCTCTTTTCCATTTCTACTCATCTCTCTTCCACCCCCCCACTATGACTCACCCCCATTCACATTGCTGTCCCATTTCAGTCACACCCTTTCCCCAATCTCACGTGTGTTTCCCTCCTAGTCACACCCCTCCTTCAAGCTGTGTGCTGTCCTGATCACTCAGTCACATGTTCTCCCCATTGACACTCTGCTGGCCCCCATTCATACTCCTCGTCTTGGTTCACACTCTTCAGGCTTCCATCACATGTTTGGAATCTCATTTTTAGCCCTGCCTCTCTCCTCTTAGACTTATGGTGTCCTTATTTCCTCCCAGAGTGCTTCAGATGGTTTCTGGAAGTCAGTGGCCACTCGGGTGCCCAAGGAGCCACCTGAAATACGCATCCTCAACCCCTACTTCATCCAGGAGGCTGCCTTCAGTTTCATTGGACTCCCCTTCAACCATGGCCTGATGGGCCGAGGGGTAAGAAGCCTGGCTGGGCCAGGATAAGGAAGACTCAGTGAGGGGAGGGGTACAGGAGCATGAGATTGGGAGGAGGAGCGCCGATGTCTACCCCTAGCCTTAACCTCACTCCTGGCCACCAGTCTTGCAGCCCAAAAGGGCATCTCCAACTGGACAGGGGCTCTCACAATGCGCTTGTAGGCCGGGTGAGATGAAAATCAGGTGGGTCACAGTGTGGCTGAATAACCAGGAAAACAGCTACAGTGTCTGTGGAAAGAAGGGGTTTCCCTAGAAGGCCTTCTAGTAGTGAGCAGCAGGACCTCTGATCCATGAGTGTGAGCAGGCAGCAGAGCCCCAGGGCAGGGCAGCCAAGGCCTCAGAGGATTGTGAGGACCTCCCTTTGAGCAGCCTGGGCCGGCCTGTCACAACCTATGGCACCCATGTGGGTTGGCGCTGCCAGGCCAGCAAGCACTGATTAAGAGGTGAGACCGCCCCTGCCCTCCAGGAGCCTGCATTCAGTTGAGAGGCAGCGTGTGCATGTAGAAGCAGATATGCAGTGAGTTTAAGGAGGTGCTAGTACTGGCAGATGGGGAAGGCTTGGTGCAGAAGGGGCTGCTCAGAGATGGCGGTGAGGAAGGAGGACACCGCAGGCATCGGGGGGGCCAGTGGGAAGGGGGGGGGGAGTGAGCACTTACTCAGCACCTACCCTGTGCCAGGCACTGCCCATAACTGCTTTACAAATACCATCTCATTGGCTCCTCACAACAGCCAGAGGACATAGGTGCTGCTATTGTCCCCATTTTACAGTGCAGGAAACATAGACAGAGGTTGAGTGACTTGCCCAGGGTCACGTGGCTAGTGAGCGTCTGAGGCCAGATTTGAACTTAGGTCTTTCTGACACTAGGTCCTACATTCTGCCTACCTTCCCCACACCATCACCCCACCTTGCTGCCTCCAGAGAACAGAAAGGGATCTCAGGGCTGGCCTGGAGGGAAGGCAGAGTGTTGGGAAAGCCAACCTGCAGCAGAAGGGCTCTGTGCTTCAGAAGCAGAGTCGCCAGGCCCCCACCTGGTGGGAACCCTGGTTCTGTGTGGGCAGAAAGGGACTGCTCTGTCCTAGAGTGGGTGATGCCTGGAGGGGAGAGAGTCAGGCCAAGTCTGACATGTGTCCTTGGGACAGGGCCGGGGACGGCGGTTTTGAAGAGTTCAGAATAAAAGCACTGGGGTGGAGTAGAGGAGAGAGAACTAGTCTGAGAGCTGGGGAGGACTGGGTTCCAGTCCAGCCTCCAGTCTGACAGGGAAGGGCCGTTGGTCCAGGGCAGTTCTCTGGGGAGAAATTCCAGGGGCGTGCTTGGCACAGAAGGAGACAAATCCTGTGGGAAGTCAGTTCGCTGGGATGAGAAGGAGCTTTCAGTAAAGTCTTGGCCACATGTGTGCACACACACATACATAAATACACAATATACATAAACACACGTACACATAACACACATGTGTACACACATAAAACACACCTCACAGTGCACACAAACACACACGAGTGTACAAAATACACACATACCTGCATGCACACATACCTGAAAACACACATGTACATACATATACATACACAAACATACACAGACACATGCATACAAATGAACACCCCTCTTATCCTCGAGAAGGAAATGCAGGACTTGTCTGAAGAGACCACTGTTGCCAGTCGACTTAGGTTTTAAAAAGCCTGACAGAGGAAGGGAGTGAGGGCAGGGAAGCCAGGCCTGCAGTGAGCTCACATGCACAGGGAGATAGAGCCCTGCATTTCCAGCCCACCTGAGCCTGCCAGTGAGGCCATAAGAAGCCTCCCTCCTCCCAGCAGCATGGTCAACCCTTCCCGGCCCGGCCTCCAGTCGGCCCTGTCTCTCTGCCCCTTCCTGCCTCTTCGTCTCTGCTGGCCTCTGCATTTCTCTGTCCCCATCCCCCTGCATCTCTCTCTCTTTCCCTCCCTCTCTAGCTCTGCCCTTCTCTCTGTCTTTGCACCCCTCTCTCTGTTGCCTTATTATCTCTTCCCCTTTTTCTCTCTCTGTCTCTCTTCTTCTCCAGAGAGGGCTGTGGGTCTCCTCCCACCTCTTTGTCTGTGACCTCCGTCTCTCCCCAAGGCCTGGAGAGGGGACAGAGGTGGAGTGGGAACACTGTTACAGTGTTGCCATGACTCAGTAGCCACAGCAGAGAGAGATTTCATCCCTGATGGGGAATTCAGCCTCTCTTTCTTGCCCCTCCATCTCCCAGGGAACCCTGCTGCCCTCCCTAAATGGACCTCTGTGGGTTGGGGCTGAGTCAATACCTAAAGCCCAGGCTTGTCAACGGGCTAGGGGGGATAAGACACCTCTGGGGAGACAGGGAGGGAGGGGGAATCCCCCCCAACACACACCCTCTCATCCCCCAGAACATCCCAACTCTGGGCACCGTGGCAGTCACCATGGCCCTGCACAGCTGTGACCAGGTGGCGGTGGCTGGCTTTGGCTATGACATGAGCTCACCCAACGCCCCACTTCATTACTATGAATCTGTTCGCATGGCCGCCATCAAGGAGGTAGGAATGGTGGGGTGGGGGGGGACTTATGGGTCCTGAGTATGGCTCCAGGGGAGGGGTCCTAACCCAAAGCCCACTCTGAGTCATTTCTGCCTCTGTTCTCTTGGGGCTTGGGTACTGGAGAATACGTACATTGGGAGGTGGGAGCAGGGGGCCTGGGAACCTTCCTGGCTCTTCATTCCTAGAGCCCTAGGCCACTCAGCCCCTAAGGGCCCTTGGACTGTTCTACGATTTTCTCAGTGATTGGCTAAAGGCAAACTCGTCTGATCTGAAGATGGCTCAAAGCTGGGAGGGAAAGAGGGAGCTAACGCACTGCATGACACAGTCAAAATCCAAAAAGATCTTAGAGGGCTGAAGTGCTGGGCTGAATCCAATCAGGTAAATTTAATCAGAATAAATGTCAACACTTACACTTTGGGTTCAAAAATCCACTTCCCGCGTCCAATATGGAGGAGGCCTAGTCAGCTGCAGTTTGAGCTGGGGGAAGGGGAGACCACAGGTGTGTGATTGGCAGCCAGAGAAGCTCAGGGAAGGGGCACAGGAGGAGGGAGGTGGCTGCCCTGTATCCTGTGCCCTCCTCAGCCCTCGTCTGGAGGCTCACGTCCAGCTTGGGACAGTTTCCAGAGGAGGGCGCCCTGGCTGGGGAGGGGCCTGGAGGAAAGGCCAACAGAATTAGAGCTTCTTAGTCCAGCGGTGAGAAGACCAGTGATGGCCGAAGGGCTGGCCTGTGGAGGAAGTTCCAGAGTCTTCTGTTAGAAGGGGAGTGGGAGAGAGCTCTTGAGCAGTAAGGTTAGGCCAGATGTCAGGAGCTGCACTGGAGTGTGGGGATGGGCTGTGGGTGGGAGGTAGTGAGCTCTCCATCCCAGGAGGGTTCCAAGCAGAAGCCAGAGGCCAGCTTGTCAGGCATGTTGTAGCAGATTGGCTTCTTGTAGCTCATGCAGAGTCTGTGTGAGCTGGGTCCAGGGCGAGCCTCTCTTCTCCGGGACCTCCTGGAGTACCCTTGTCTTTACGGTATTGCCTGTGTCCAACCGTGAACAGTGAACTCCTCTCTGGTGATTTGTCGATTCCTTATTTCTGAGAAGAGGGTGTGGCCCTCGTCTTATACAGCCATTCCCTGGATTTGCAAAGGTTACCTCGGGTATTTCATGCATTTTGTAGCTTATTTTGAAGGAGCCTCATCTTAGCATTTTTCCTGGTGGAGAGGAGACTCTGGGCTCGCTCTCCCAGCTCTGGCTGACCCTTTTTATCCTCGGGGTTCTCGGTTCCTTGCGGGGCCAGGGGTCCCCACTTGTGTGTTTCACAGCGTCCTTCAGACTCCCCTTAGAAGTCCCGAGCTAGCAAGCTTAAAGACCCTCTCGGTTGCTGCTGCTCCATTTCACAGAAGGGAGACCAAGGCTCAGAGAGGGGAAGGGAGCTGGAACCAGAGCCGGCCTGAGGGCTGCCCTTTGAGGCCCCTCTAATGGCCAGGATGAGTGGGGGGGGGCAGCCTGCTGCTGGGTACCAGGGCTTAGAGTCTGAGGGACCAGGAAGCAGGCTGGGGCCAGGGTTGAGCGTGAGAATGGAGATGAGGGCCTGGCCCCCTGAGATACCCAGGCAAAGGTGAGGGCAGCCCAAGGGTCATGCCACTGGGGCAGAGGCAGTGCACATGGGGAGTGATGAGAGAGCCTTGAATGCCAAGCTGAGTACAGTGAGCTTACTTGTGAGGCAATGATGTCCCCATTCCTTGAGGTCTTGGAGTTCACTTCGGAGGGATGTTGCTTCAGGGAGGGGCTGGTGGTTCCCTCTGAGGTTCTTGGGTGACTGTGAGCATGGTGGCCATGGGATCTCTGCAGAAGGCCTTCTCAGGCAAGTGTCATCAGTCAGGGGCAGTGTACCTGAGCCCCCAGGCCCCACCTGGGAGACGTGCCAGGCCGAGGCGCTGTGACCGGAGCCTTTGTCCTGTCCTCGTCATCCCCTTGCTCCAAGCTGCTCCAGCAGCTGGTGGGGGCTGGGGGTGGGGCAAGCAGTAGGTTCCCAGCTGGTCCTGCTGTCAGGACCTCCTTCCACACTGGAACCTCCCCCACTTTTCTCCACCTGCCCCGTTCTTTAAGCCCCTGTCAGAGGCCCTGAGCTCCCTGGTTCCAGGCCCCTTCCCATGCCTCCAGCCCTTTTCTCTTTCCTATCTGTCTCCTTCCTCCTATCTCAATTCAGAAACCACTTGCCAGGAGAGGCAGAAGGGAGCCCCCAGACACAGGCCAGGTACCTAGCATGACCCAGCCTGGTCAGTGCAGTGACAGGTCCCTGGGCCTTCCCGTCTCTTCCTCCTGCCCCTAAATAGCCCAAGTTGTACCCCATGCTCCCTCCCCACAGCCCAGGCATGGAGCCTCCTGGTAACATCCTGGGCCTGGACGTGGGCTTGGGTTCCCTCACCCACCCTGAGTTAACACAGTGTCTTCATCCCCCAGGAAAAGTGACTGGTATAGACACGTTTTCCATCACCTCAGAAATGAGAAAAATTCAACTCAGCAGACATCACCAGCGCCACACCCATTCCCTGCCCCTACCCCCATCCCTAGGCAATACCCGCTCATCTCTGGGCACACCATTGACCTTCCAGGGTTAGAGATGTCTGAAGTCATTCATGGCCAAAGGCTTTGCCCTGGGGCCCCACCTTCCCAGCCACTGAGGGGTCAGTCCTGAATGAGCCAATGTCCCCAGCCCCACCTAGACCCTTGGTAAGAGCTGGCCCATGGAAGGAGGCTCAGGTTTGTCCTGCAGGGCCCCAGTCACAGAGCCAGCCCTGCCAGCCTGGCTTCTGGGGCCATGGGGCCAGGTAGAAACTGGATGTGGCTTGGGGTCGGGCTGGACAAGATGCCCCCCACCTCTGTAGGCACAGGCTTCCAGCATGGAGCATGCTGCCCTGGTGGTGATGCACAGCTGGGCCTTGCCTACAGTGAGGCACAGGCAGAGATCAGAGCCTGCCAATCTGGGACAAGGGGTGGGGGATGGGGGCTGCAGCCCGGCTGACCCAGCTTCTCCTCACTTCCAGTCCTGGACACATAACATCCAGCGAGAGAAGGAGTTCCTTCGGAAGCTGGTGAAAGCCCACGTCATCACTGACCTCACCAGTGGCATCTGAAGGGTCCCGAACGTGGCTTGTGAAGCTCCAGCCTCCACAGGGTGAAGGGAGAGCCGCCTTCCTCCTCTGTGACCGGACCCCGGATGGACAAGGAGCCTCTGGGTGGGCAAGTGCCAAGGACCACCAGTGCCAGCCTCGACCTGCCCAGCCTCCTTCATCTAGGCAGGGCCTCCTGTGAGAAACACTTGCTTTGCTCGGGACTGAGGAACTCGCCTGAGACTGGGGGGCTCTGCCTGGCCCTGAAAGACCCTTCCTGGGTCTGAGACCTGCCTGGATGCTGAGGGCCCTAGCTGGGACTAGGGGGCTCTGACTGGCTGGCTGACAGGGTCTGGCCTTCAGGGCCCCTGGGAAAGTCTCTTCCCTCAGTGTTTGCTGTATTTTATTTTATTTTGTGGATGCAGAGTGGGGTGGGGAGGGAGGGAAGGGGGATAATTTATTTTTTAAATAAGGCTGAAGACGTGAAGTCTGGTCAATGTTTGGCAAGGAGAGAAAGTAGGGAATGTCCCTGGGCTGCACCCCAGGGGGGTGGGGGCAGGGAACAGCAGAAGGGGTCTGAGGAGTTGGGGGGAGGGGTGTCTGCTACTCCCAGACCTGCCCCTGGCAGAAGGTGTGGCTTGGAGGGGAAGAGGGGGGCAGAGAGAGTGGTGTACCCTCCTCTCCTAATGCCACCCATTCCTTCCCCGCCCTGAGCCCTTGGAGCCTTGCAAGGCCCACAGAGGAGGCCTGAGCTCTCTGAAGCAGCAGCAGCAGCAGCTGCCCCTGCCTCCTGGCACCTTGGGGCTCCAGGGCCCAGGCCTGTTCCTGAATCCTTGAGGCCCAGCAGGACCTGGGGTCCAAGGGGATGGATCTAGCCTCCCTGAGGCCCTGCTCTGCTCTGCTGCTGCTACTGCTGGGTGGGATCCAGGCCAGAGGGCCAGGACTAGCCCAGATGAGCAGAGGCCTGTGGGGTCTGTGCTACCCCTTCCTCAGGAGCCAAGGAGCAATAAAGCAAGCAGCAGTCTGGCCTGGGTCTCTTCCTCACCTTTTCCCCTGGCAGGGTCTGAGGCCCACAAGCCCGGTGCTCCCTGTGCACACCAGAGCCCAGCAGAGCCCTGTCTGCCTGCCCCATCATACCTGGCCCCTGGGGCCTCACAAGCTCCTTCTATTAGCCCAGCCCAGCCCAACTCGGAGACCCTGCAGGGGCCAGGCAGGCACCACCCCTAGTTCAGTGGGCCTGCTCCCACCCCCAGCTCTGCCAGGAACTCTCTTTGAGAGGTAGTGTGCCCCTGATCTGGCACAGTGCCCTCTGTTGTCTCTCACCATCAGATTCCCTGCACAAGTTCAGGCTGTTACAGAAGCCAAGATATGCCTTCGTGTGATATTTAATGAAACGGAAAACCGCATTTGGTTTTTCCAAGGAGAGTCAAACCAGAAGTGGTCCATCAGGCCCTGGCTCTGGGCTCTGCCTGCTCTTGGCACCAGGGCCTCCCCAGACCCGGGGTTAGATCTCTCCAGAAATAGCCATCCTGGAAGCCGCTTTTGTCAAAGCTCCCACCAAGTGGGGCCTCCTTAGCCCCTGCCTGGGCTCTGCCCTGGGGGAGGAAACGGCCATCAGCCTCTCCTAACAGGATGCCCCAAAGCAGGGGCTGTTATTGGGTCCAGCGTCTCAGGAGGAAGCCGGGGCGTGCTTCCAGCAAGCACGGCAGCCAAATTGGGGCCCTTATAACCTGGACACTCAGTGTCCCTGAGGATGTAGCCCAGAGGGGTGGGTACAGGGACTCCACTGGCCTGAAGACAGGCAGTCACAAGCAATACCCTTTTCACTTTAGGAGCATCGATTGGCAGCAAAGGGTCAGGGTCAGGCAGAGCAGAGCCCAGCCCTGAGGACCATAGGGCCACATCCCAGAAAGCCCCGAGGCTGCTGCCCCGAGGTACAGGGGGTCAGGCTCTGGCCTGCTGGAGATGGCCATTCAGCCCCCTCATGAAACCCTCTGCAGGGAGATGCATGGCTCCCCACCCGCCTCACGGTGCTCTCGCTACCTCTCTGGCACCAGCACATAGTAGGCACTTAGTTAGATCTTGGTTTGCCACATCATGGCACTCTCTCCCTAGGCAGCCTGTTCCACTCTTGGACAGCGCTCACTCTCGTGGGAGAAAGCATTCCATCAGATTGCACCTAGCCCTCGCCTACAGTCCACCTAAGGGCTGGTCCAGCTCAAGAACACTGCAGGCCCTTGCTAATTGGCAGGCTGAAATCTTAGCAGGCCAAGGTCGAAGGGGACCCCTCCCTGTGCCCTATCCTCTGGACGGCCTTGGAGGGATTAGTGACCTCGCTGGTAGTGAGAGGCTGCTGGGTGTCTCAGTGCCCAGAAGGGCGGCCTGGCACTCATCCCAGCCTGGCTCAGTCACTTATGAGCTGTGTGACCACTGGCCAGTCATCCCCTCTGAGCCTCAGTTTCCTCATCCAAAAAATGGGGATAATCATAGCACCTACCTCCCAGGGTTATTGTGAGATAATATTTATAAAGCACTTAGCATAGTGCCTGGCACATAGTAGGAGCTTAATAAATGCTTGTTTCCATCCCTCCTTCCTTTCTCTGTCGTACAGTTAGAGGGCACTGGAATTGAAAGGGTTACAGACAGCTAAAGACCAGGAGGATTCTCTTCTTTAACTCCTCCTGTGTAAGGGACTGATACAAAAAGTGGAGAACTAAGGGAAGGACACTCCCCCCACCGGGCACTCGGTGGGTATGAGGCCATTTGGGTACTTCCACTGGTTTGACTAGCAACTCCTCAGCTCACCGTGCAAAGCAGCAGCAACAACTTGTAATAGTCCCTGGGGGCTGCGGGGGGTGGTGGGTGGTAGGTTGGGGTGGGGATGGGGTAGGGTGGGGAATGGTGACCTGATGCCAGTACATCCCCCTCTAACCACACACACTTCTGGCTTCCTTGTGGATCCATGGATTCTCTCTTTCTCTGTTTTTAAAAAATTTAAACCTGTTTCAATTTTTTAAATATTCTGTTTTAATCAACCAAAATGGGCCTTCTCCTTCCACCTCTCCCCAGCTGAGAACATGAGAAAAATAAAACCTATTGTAAACATGTGTAATCAATCAAAACTAATTTCCACATTGGCCATGTCCAAAAAATTATTTGTCTCATTCTACATTCTGAGTCCTTCATTTCTCAGTCAAGGAGGTGGATAACGTTTCATCACTCTTCCTCTGAAGTCCTGGTGGGTCATCACATTGATAAGAGTTCAGTACAATGGTATTCCCTCATTTATATGACTTTTTCAGCCATTCTGCAATCTATGGGCAGATTCCCATTCTTTGCCACCTCAAAGAACTATCACTGTTTTTATGCATCAAAATTTGTTTTGCTTGGACTAATCCCTTCCTTAACCTTTCTCTAATTCCTCCTCACCCCTTTTCCCAGTTCCTTCTTATTTCCCTGTTGAGTGAAGTGAATTTCCATATTCAACAGTGTGTGTGTGTGTGTGTGTGTGTGTGTGTGTGTGTGTGTGTTCTTCCTTCTTCTGACCAGTTCAGATGAGAGTGACAGTCATGTATCAGTCATTCCCCTCCTTCCTTATTTGTAAGGATATCTACTTGTGAGCCCTGATTATGTAAGATAGTTGTCCCTAAACTTCCTTCCCCTTCCCTAAGCTGCTCTCCCCTCTCCTGCCCCCTACCCCCTGTGTATTCCTCTTCCCTTCTTTTCACATTCTTTTCTTAGGATGATCAAGACATAAAATCACTCTCAGGTCTTTTCTAATTAGATTCCCTATATGAACTTTGATGTCAGAAGGGACACATAACATTTCCCCATATTTGAATGTAAGCAGTTTATCCTTGTTTATCACTGATCATTCATATTTGCCTTTTTATGTTACTCTTCACTCCTGTATTCAAACTTCAGAGTTTTTCTGTCACTTTGATCTTTTCATCAGGAATGCTTAGAAGTCCTCTTTTTTCATTAAAAATCCATTTCCTGATGGATTATGTTCAGTTTTGCTGGGTAAGTTATTCTTGGCCATAAGCCCATCTCCATTATATTCTGGAATATCAGATTCCAAACTCTCCATTTCTTCATAGTGCTGGCTGCTAAATCATGTGTGAGCCTGACTGTGGCTTCTCAGTGCCTGACTTCTTTCTGGTTGCTTGCAGTATTTTTTGTTTTAACCTGAAAGCTCTGGATTTTAATTATCATCCTCCTGAGAGCTTTCGTCTTGGGAATTTCAGGAGGTTACAGGTAGATTCTTTCTATTTCCATTTTGTCCTTTGGTTCTAAGAGATCTAGGTAGTTTTCTTTTATGAGCTCTTTAAACAGGATGTCTAGACTCTTTTTAAAAATCATATACTTATTCTTAAATTTTTTCTCCTTGATCTATTTTCCAGGTTAATTGTTTTTGCTCGGAGATACCTTACATTTTCTTCCATTTTTTCAGTCTTTTGACTTTGTGTTAATGTATCTTATTTCATGGAGTCACTGGCTTCTATTTGGTCCTTCCTAATATTCAGGGAGTTTGTTGCTTGGATGAGGTTTTGTACCTAATGTTCCAAGTTGTAAATTCCCTTTCCAATTCTTTCTTCCTTAGCTCTCATTTCTTTTCTGATTTTTTCCTCAAGTACTCTCATTTATGAAATTATTTTTAAACCCTTGCCTCATCTCTTCCAGGATTTCTAGTTGAATTTTTGCCCAACTTATATTTTTCTCTGAGGCTTTGCTTGCAGATGATTAAAGTCATTCTCTTCTTTTGGGTTTATGTAGAGTTTCCATAATAGGATTATTTTGTTTGTTAGCTCATTCTTCCAGCCTACTTCCAGACTTAAGACTTTATGTTAGGGCTGGGCTCTGCTGCACTTCATCAGGGAAGGTCTGGACTAGTCTTGTTACTGCTTTCTGGAGGTTCAGGATGTTGTGTTACTCCAGAATCTCAGAGGCATACTAGGGACTTGTAAGCTTTCAGTACTGCTAGAGTGGTCTGATCCAGAACAAAGACTGCTGTTTGTCTGAACTCTGACTTGGGACTGAGCAACAGGAGACTGTTTCTGGACTCAGCCGCTAAAAGTCAGCTGGAAAGCTCTGTTGGTTCAGAACAGCAGTATTGTGGGCTCTCCTTGAGCCTGGGATTTCCATTCCGGTATTCCTCTGTAGACTGGGCTAGATGTTGGAAGTCTGAGCCACATCACTGCTGCTACTGCTGCTGGCTTCTGAACTTCTCCTATCCTTATGCATTTCCCAGAGTCTCCCTAGCCCCATTTGCAGGTCCTCTTCTCAGGCCCTCCTGGATCTGTGACCCAGAACTGGGGAATGGACAACAAAGCTCCCAATTTGCACCTGTCCCCATCACTGTGCCCTGACTGGGGCTGGGAACCCTTGCCCTGGTGCGCTGTTGCTCCCTGAAGTGCTCCATTCACCGTGTGATCCTGGCCCAGCCCAACCCCAGTGTTCACAGACCTCCCTGTCTGTCTCCCTATGCCAAGCTGCTCTGGACAAAGGACTCACTAACTTTTCTCTGGATCTTCCCTTCAGGATTTGTTGCATTTTCTAGATCTGTTTGAAGGTGTTGGGGGAGAGCTCAACTGCGCTAGCTGCTGTCACTCTGCCCTCTCAGCTCTGCTTCCCTCTCAGTTCCTTTTCCAGAGTTCTCAATGTCAAGTTCAAGAAGTGACTGCTTCGAAGTCAGTTCAGTCACCCCAGGCTCTGTGTCCCTGTAGCTGTGAGTGCTCATTGCCTGGCCGGCCATCACTGTCCTCTACCACTCTGAGGGATGCTCCTCATTCTGCTTGATCCCAGAGGGCAGAACCAGGACCAACAGGTGGGAGTTAGGAAAAGACAGATTTCAGCACAAGTAAAACAAAGCCCTCCAAAAAATGGCCCAGGCTGCTTGGTAGGGTAGTGAGTTCCCTGTCATTAGAGTGTGTAGTCACTTTCTATACAGGAAGTTCATGTACCATTCAGTGGGGTTGATTAAATAACAATACAGTTTACAGAGTGGGCTTCTCACAACAACCCTA